GGAAATAACTGCAAATGGTCCACTAAAAAAAAGAAAAAAAAAAGTGAGGTAGGGAATAATAACACTGGCAGAATTTCAGTATAGGCAGCTGCAGCCATCTAAGAAAGGGTCAAGGTAACAGGAAAACAAGGCAGATGGAAGATAGAAAAACTACTAGCTAACAATCTTGTCACCGATAGACATGAGTTTCTTCCTGTGTGCCGGTTCTATGACGGATATGACCATTTTCAGAGGCAGAATACCAGGTTAGGAATTTAAAATGGAAGTCTAATGTTAGCTGCAGCCGCGGTGGCTTTGACTGCTTTTAGGATCTCTTGGTTGCTCATACACAGCTCCGACAGTGAGGAATTGTTCACAGGGGATGGGCTCTGAGGAGAAGATGCTGCAAAACAGAAAGCCATCATCTGGATGGAATCCAGCTTCTCAGGAGGAATCTGGGCCTTTTCTGCTACTTTCTGAGGAGTAGAGACTGAGTTCTCCATCAAAGAACCTTGCTGAACTTCCAATTGCTCTAGCCTCCATCTCATACCTGTTTTAGTACCATAGCTAGTACAAGAATTGGAGGTGGTCAGCCTCACAGTGGCTGTGAGATATTTTGTTTCTCCTGTTGCCACAGTGGGAAACTGTTCTCTCTGCTGCCCTGAGCTCAACCGGCTGGTAGTGCATAACAGACAGGTTCTGGGCCTGACAAGGGTGTGCCACACACGTTGTCTAGCCTCTGCTGATCTGCTCTCAAACCCATGCAGGTCCTTCTAGAAAAACAACTATAGGTATTGAAGTTGAGGTCAGGTTGGGCATGTGGGCTGAACCGCTGCCTCCAGACTTGAAAGAGGAAACTTCCAAATAGCTAGGATTACACAGGTAAGTCAGCTCACCCTGGCATCTCACGGACTTTCCTGTCTGGGTTGGTTTTCAACCAGGATCCTCAGATCTCAACCTCCTGAGTAGCTAGGATTAAGGCATGAGCCACTAGTGCCCAGCTAACTTTTTTTTTTGTTTTTTTGTTGGTTGTGGGGCTTGAACTCAGCCTGGGTGCTATTGCTGAGCATTTTTCTCAAGGCTAGCGCTCTACCACTTTGAGCCACAGCTCTGCTTCTGGTTTTAGGGTGGTTAATTGGAGATAAGGGTCTCACAGACTTTCTTGCCCAGGCTAGTTTTGAACCATGATTCTCAGATCTCAGTTTCCCGAGTAGCTAGGATTACAGGTTTAAGCTGCCAGGGCCTGGCCAACTTTTTCTTTATAACATGCACAAAAGCACACATGGACTACCAGATTCTACCACTTTTCAGACTGTTTACTGTCTTCTATTTGCTTTTCTTAAGTAATTATAAACCAATGTTTTCCAAAAGAGAGTGGAAGTAGTTCCAGTCTCTTGGTTAGGTTTATAGATACTTGTTAAGGACTTGTTTGGTCATGGTTAGTGAGCCAGACATAGGGAAGAAAAATACGTGTCTAACATCATGGGATCCTCAGTCAGGTGCTAAGAGATAATGTTAGGTGACTACTAGAGGAAAAAGGTTAGAAGGTCAATCTAAGCAGTCTAACATCCCGAAAGAGAACTGAAGCGTCAGAAAGTTATTAGAGCTTAAGGTAAGAAATACTCCCAGAACTTAAAGACATGTGATTTCAGTTTAAAATGGTTCACTGAGTCCCTAGTTAAATAAATCACTTGTAAAAGGATCAAAGTACTTCGCTAGGAAGTTTCTGAATTCTGGGCCTTGAATGTCTTTCACATATTAACTTCTTTTTCAAAAAGCTACTGGATATTATCCATTTAAAGTGAGGGAGTAGCCAGGCCCTGTGGTGGGTACCTGTAGTCACAGCTACTCAGGAGGCTGAGGCTTAAAGCTCCAAGTTGAAGGCCAGCTTGGGTAACATGGCAAGATCCCCCCTCCTAAAAAATGCAAGGGTAGTGTTCGCTGCGGCAGCACATATACTAAAATTGGAACAATACAGAGAAGATTAGCATGGCCCCTGCTCAAGGATGACACGCAAATTCGTGAAGCGTTCCATATTTTTGGAAGTGGGGCTGTGGCTCAAGTGGTAGAGCACTAGCCTTGAACTGAAGAGCTGAGGGACAGCGCCCAGGCCCAGAGTTCAAGCCCCATGACCGACAAAAAAAAAAAAACAAAACCCAAAAAACAACAAAAAAAATACAAGGGTATAAAGAACGAAGAAATAGGATTCATGAAGTCCATGTTCCAACTAAAGAGAAAAAGTTAAAGAAATTCCCAGGAAAAAGAAACTCAAGGAAGCTAGCTGGTGCTATTGGCTCATGCCTGTAATCCTAGCTACTCAGGAGGCTGAGATCTGAGGATTGCGGTTCAAAGCCAGCCTGAACAGGAGTCTATGAGACTCTTATCTCCAATAAACTACTCAAAAAAAAAAAAAGCCCCAAGTAGACCTATGGCTAAATGATAGTACACTAGCCTTGAGCAAAAGTAGTTCAGGGACAGTGTGCAGGCCCTGAGTTCATGCCCCAGGACCAACACACACACACACACACACACACACACACACACACACCTCTCACACACAAAACAAAACACACATACACAAAACCCTCAAGGAGAACTACAAAGAAAACAGTTCACACTGGAGTGAGAAAAAGGGATCTGGGGAGGAAGTAGGTTGGGGGTGGTGCAGGTGAGGGTATGGAAGAGATGGGCTATCTACATTCTGAAAAAATTATATTGAGAGGCTACTGAAAATCATGGTTACAAAGAAACAAGTAAAAAAAAACACACCAGCGATTACTAATGAGATAGGACAGATTAGGTTGGACTGAGAGGTCAAAGTCCAATTTACTTTACTATTCATCAGACTGAAAAGCAACAAGCATTAAAGTATGTCCTTAAGACAAACTGCAGCTGTAAAATGTCATAACGACCCTGCAAGCGATCCCTAGAAAGATACATTAGGAGAAACACTCTGATTGGAAGAGCATCTGCCTGAGGATGGAAGTCACTTTGACACAAAAAGGCAGCTGTGATTTGCAATCCAGCTACAGAACTTCAGTGTTAGGATTATAGACATGAGCCACCAGCACCTGGCAAATGCATAAGCAAAACCTCATCTAACTCACAATCTCATAAGGTGGTCTTCATCAATCTATTTAGTGAATTAAATAGTGGCTGCTTACTACACAAAACACTGGGTTCAACATTACAGACAGAACAAAAGTAATTCCTGCTCTTCTGGGGTAGAATACTGTGAGCATCATTTTAAAATTATTTGACTATGATTGGGAAAGGCTACAGAAAATCTTTTCTTTGTAAGATTGTGTGTAAGTTAATGGATCATGAGAAGGCAAACACTGAATCCTGCAATTAGAACACTAGCACACTTTACCTTGGAAAAATGGGTGGCCACACCTTTCAGATATAGATGATTCAGGGATGAAGGCCATATATAAAATACTCAGTGAGGGCTCACATGTCCCATCCACTGATGCTTAAGCACACCACAGGATCATGGGAAAGGACCAAGACTTCCATTTGCTAGGACCACATTCTGTTGCTGCCCACATCATAGAATGGAGGCTAAGATAGCTAACCTTTTGGAGGAACACACACACGCAGACACACAGAGACACACACAGAGTAATCTGGCAGGTGACACAGTGGTAGGGCTTACCTAGCATGCACAAGATCCTGGTTTAATAACAGAAAAAAAAGTAATTTGTTTTTCAAACTACATATACAGAAACACATAAACGGGCTGGGAAGGTGGCTCACTGGTAGAGCACTTGCCTTGCATTCATGAGGCCCTGGGTTCGATTCCTCAGCACCACATAAGCAAAAAGAAAAAAGCCGGAAGTGGCACTGTGGTTCAAGTGGTAGAGCGCTAGCTTTGAGCTGAAGAGCTGAGGGACAGCAACCAGGCCCAGAGTTCAGACCCCATGACCGGACCCAAAAAAAACCCCAAAAAACAGAAACACACAAACTTCTTACATTAAAATTGAGAAATTTATTATTTTCATGAAATAGTAAGCACAAGTAAAGAAATATACAGCTTAAAGTAATTGAGATAACCCTAGATTTTAATGACAATTACACATTTAAAGGCCAAAGGAAAAATGAGTTTTAAAAGAATTCACTGTAAAATTTTTGCTCAATAATTCATCTGAAATTAAAAATACAGGAAAAACTGGAATATGGGCACCATGTAAAACAAAATAATGCCACGCACTCCATCCCTCACAAGAGAGCTGGGAGCTAGTGAAACAGTGGCTGGACGCTGCCCCCACTCGGAGAGGCCATCTGACCATTCCACCACTCTTAAGAGTGACAGCCATTGGTCTCTTCTGATTGGAAGGATGCCAACTTTGGTTCCATTTAAGAATACTTCCCATAGGCACCCAAGCAATCTAACTGTTCTAGCCTTACTGGGAGAGGGGAGGACCAGCATCTTGGCAGACTGCCAGCCATGGCTTTCCCTTAGGGATCACTGAAGTCAACTGCCTCATGTTCTTATAAATGTTAAAAGACAAAATTACATCTGAACAGCAGCCAAAAATTTATATACTTCTTATGTATTTACAACATTGTACATATTTACATGACTGAATCAAATACTGAATTGTAGAAATAAGAGATCACCTACAAAGGCATTCATTTAATGCCCCAGTGTTATCTTCTTGTGCAAACAAACTTTCCTCAAGTGTCACAGAAAGCTTTTAAAGACAGTCCACATTTCGCAGGCCACCGTCCATCGTTAAAGACCCAAACCTAAAGCACATATAAAAAGAAAAAAGGTAACCTCAAAAGATATACTCATTTGAACCATTTGTTTCCCTCTTTCCTTTCCTCCCTCCGCCACCCTCATGCTGGGAATTGAACTTAGGGCCTTATACGTGCTAGGTAGGCATTTAAATTACACACTCAACCTCTGGCCCCCAATATTTCAAAGAAATATACAGAACACTTTTCAAGGCAATAAACAGTTTAATTTGGAGGTATCATAATTAAATGAAAAAAAATCCAGTTCCTCGGAGAGTGATACAACTGTGAAGATGTTAGTAAGAACTAGAAAACTGGACAATTTCTTTTTGGTAAGGAAGGACTTATAAGTTAAGAAATGGAATTGGGAATGTGACATGCTCAAAGGGCAGTAAGGAATGGAACCCTGTTAAACAGAAAGTTATGCTGAGGATAATATGGACATTGGGTGCAAAGACTGTTTTATGTTTTACATTTTGAATGCAAGTATAAATTAAGACTGCACCTTTTAGCTAACAGGAGTTTAGACATTGCCACCAGCTCAAATTCTGAAGACCATTTCTGGACAGAAGGCTTTAGGAAAGCAAAGGCCTCACACTCAGACCTAAAGCAGACCTTGCACTCATCGAGAAGCCTAGGCATAAATACACATATATGGACACACAAAACCAGTGTGTCTATATTCACATTCTGTCTTGTATTAATGTAAGTCTGTCTTTGTTGCTGTTTTCATTTAAGTGCTTTGAGTATTGTATTTGTTTAACTGGGTTTTCCTTTCTGTTAACTGGATAAAGGCATTGCCTTTTAACTTCTACATTCTAGCACAGACCTATTATAATTATTTTTTAAATTTATCTTCTCCTTGTCTTCCATTTCTCTGAAATCATACCTGAATCCTAACACTTGCCTTTTAGAATTCTCTTTTGAATCACAGTATCTTCCCCTTCCCATAGTTCTTCCCCACTTACATTCTCCTTCTAGCTACAAGAAGAATGCTTCTCATACTCATTGTCTACCTGTGCTCTCTCATACTAATCCTTATACCTTAACTCACTAAACTCATGTTTGGTAACTAGATCATTTGAACATCATTTTGTTATTATTGTGTTTCTTTTTGTTTTCTGTACGTTTTTTATTGTAAAAATGTTGTATAGAGGGGTTACAGTTACATGAGCAAGGTAATGTGCATTTTTTCCTATTGAGCATTGTTGCCTCCTCCTACGCCCATCTCTTCCCTCCCACCTCCACAACTACTCCCCCCCACCCTCATTATTGTGTTTCTTTTTTTTGGTTGTGGGGCTTGAACTCTGGGCCTGGGCTTTCCCTCAGCTGTTCAGCTCAAGGCGAGTGCTCTACCACTTGACACTTGAGCTACAGTGCCACTTCCAGTTTTCTAGTAGTTTATTGGAGATAAGAGTTTCACAGACTTTCCTGCCCAGGCTGGCTTTGAGCCTCGATCCTCAGATCTCAGCCTCCTGAGTAGCTAGGATTACAGGCGCGAGCCACTGGCGCCCGGCTTATTGTGTTTCTTATGTACTGTCCTCCCCACTTTTCTCCATAATTTTGTTTTCTTTTTGTGCCAGTCCTAGGGCTTTAACTAAGGACCTGGGCACCATCTCTGCGCTTTTTTTTTCTCAAGGCTCTACTTCACAGCTCCATTTCTAGCTTTTCTTCATGATCACTGATGCTGTCTGATTTTTATTTTGGTCTGACTTTTACTTTTATCCACTTCCCCACTCCCTAACCCAATACAACATTAACTAGGTTTTCCCCCCCCTATTTATCTCACTCCACATTCCTATTAAGCTCTCCTACAAAGCTGAGCTCTCACCCATTCCCATATGGGAACTATATATATATATATATAAACCAACTATCTACTGTTATTCTACTAGCACTATCCCTTCCAACTCTCACTCTCACCTTGGTTAAGGAAGATTTTCCCACAATACAAAGATGCACCTTGCATCCTATATTCATCTAAACAGATCCTCATTAGAACTCAACAAGCTGGAAAGCAAGCTTCCTCAGTCTGAGGGGAGGAAAGTTACACACACACACACACACACACACGTTACACACACACACACACACACACACACACACAGAGTATCTGCAGCACTGAACTCATCAACTACATGTAAATCAAGACCCACCCTTTGAATCTATTCATCATTACCCAGGGACCACCCTGGCTAAAGGAAGCTGTAAGAAACCATCAATTGAAAAGATACAGGAGAGATTGAAATCTCTATAAATCTTGAACCCTGATGTGTAGAATCCCATTTTAAAATTCATGAAAAAACAAAGGAACATGTCTCTTTCAAAAACCAAAATGCTATCATAATAAAGAATTTAGTGAGAGTGAAGAGGATTAAAGTCCAAACAATGAACTCAATAAAAATAATAAGATTGCTTAATGAAATAAAGGGACTGTTTTAAAAAACTGAATTCAGATAGGACTCAAACAAGAGAAATAAAATCACCATACTGGATGAGTTCTGCATTACTCACCTTTCTAAAATATGATTATTTTCAGCAAGTTCTTTAACCACTCCTTCCATTTCTTCCTTTAACTTCTTCATACTATACATATTAAAAAAAAAGCATCTCTGCTTAGAAAAGTATGTACAAAGCTGGGTAATGGTGGCTCACACCTGTAATCCTAGCTACTCAGGAGGCTGAGATATGAGGATTGTGGTTAAAGTCAGCCCAGGCAGGAAAGCCCATGACACTCTTATCTCCAATTAAATATCAAAGAAGCTGGAAGTGGTGCTGTGGCTTAAATGGTAGAACACTAGCCTAGATCACAAAAACTGCTCAGGGATAGTGCCCAGGCTCTGAGTTCAAGCCCCAGGACTGGCTAACAAAAAGAGAAAGGAGAAAGAAAAGGAAGTATGCACATATTTTAGAATTATATTTATACTAGGTTTTAGTTCTATAGCTCTAACTCATTAAAAACATCATCTAACAGTGCATTTCTCAATATACATCAAGATTTTCAAAATATCAGAGCAACATTACAAACAACAATAAAATAAATATAATTTATATATATATATTTATATAATAAAAGTAAAAATAATTTTCAAGTCTCTTACCCAAGAGTCATTTCCACTAATGTGTTTGAACTTGGGTAGATTGTGGTCATGGTATGTTTGATTCCACTGGAGGCTGCAAACATTTTCTGAGGCAGAGTTTCTTGTAACTAAAATGTCAGAAAACTACATTTCATAACAAGAACGATTTAGTAGAGTTCACAGACTAATCTCATAGCTATTAGTAAGTAATTTACAGCTTTAAATTTCTATTTAAAAGCCTCCAATGATATATACTTAATACCCTTTTAAAATAACTTTTCTTACAAATGGTCTACGAGTGATTTATCCAAAAGTTTTTTTTTTTTTTTTTT